TCTTCGTTCCGCTCACTCCGGCTCTTCCTTGGGCTCTCTGGCAGCGCTCCGGGCCGCCCTGCCCATGCCCCGGGCTCGCAGCGCCCCGCAGTCTAGCCCTTTTGTGGTCTCCTCGTGGGATCCAAGGTGCCGCGCGCCGAGGAGGCGGGCTGCTCGCTGTGCCGGGGTCAGAGGCGCCGCTGCCACCGGCCCACGAGCGCGCGGGCACGAAAGGGTTAAGCTGCCCGAGCCCAGGGAAGAGGCTGCACTCATCCCCAAGCGAGGTGCAGCCACCAGCAGCTGTGATTTAGGGGTCAAGTCCGAGATCACCTTTCTCCTGCCTCTGGAAATAGCAGAAGATGAGGTAGGGAGGGAGAAACAGGAGGGAGAGGCAGCCAGGCGCGGCACTTGGCACTTCATCCATCCGTTCCCTCCCCCCACCCCCGAGTCCACCTCCTGACCCCCAGACAAATGGAACAGTTCCCCTTTCTCCTAGGGGTGCGGGTGAGGTTATTCTGAGTGTCTGAATTGCTCCATCCGTAGCTCTGTCCTACTGTTAAACCACTGCGCCCCCGAGCCTTAACCACTAAATCAGAAAGTTTGCTCTTAATGCGCCAGAGGGTGAGCAGCTGGGGCCGGGTAAAAATTGCTCCCCTTTTGCAGAAAACAGGGGTGCCCTCGGCAAGATGGGGGGATCTGGATGTTGGCACCAGCCCACGAGACCCCAGGCACACTCCTCACAGCTGTGAGTGGATGTACACAGTGGTGTCCATTACATGCAGCTTCTTGCTTTGTGCCCACATTTTCGGTCAAAAGCTCCCCACCCCCCAACTCAGGCAGCCTGGAGAATACTTTTGTCAAAATATTTTTCACGCCTGAAAGATAACCAAAAACCAAATTCAGATTTGTTTCTGAGGTGTTTCTTTGGAAAAGAGCAAAGCGTCTTAAGTCCCCATTTGCTTTGCACTGCGCTGCCGGGCGCACCAGGTTGTGGGGCTCAGTGCCCAGGTGATGCTCTGGTGGACTGTAGGGGCGCGCACACGGCGTCTGCAAAAAGGGCTTTAACTGAGAAAGAGCTTTCCAAAATCATCCCCACAAGGTTGGACTTTAGGACGACGACGGTTCTTTTGGAAAGTTACTCCAAGAAGAAGGAGTTTGGGATGGGAAAAGAACTGGCTCAGAATGACACAGAGAACGGGGAGCTGGGTCCCTGGGGGACAGGAGGCAGGTGGCGGGGGGCGCTGAGAGTAGACAGGCAGAGGAGCGATGGAGGAGGTCCACACGCAAGGCGTGTAGGGCACGGCCGGGAGGCTCGGCGATGCGCTCCCCAGACGCTCCCTCCAGCTTCCAGAGTAAGGGCGAATCACCCCGATTTCAGCTTCTGCTTCCAGGGCCAAGAGCGGACCAGCTGGTCCAGAAGGCAGCTGAGGTTTGTCTTTAGAGTCCTGCCGCCCCCCCTAACCCCACCAGAGGCTCCAAACCGCGGAAATCAAACCAAATTGGCCGCTCGAATCTAGAGAGGTTTCATCCCTGGGGCAAGGGGGAGGGAACAAGCCTTTTTTTTTTTTCCCTTTTGAACTCCGGATTCAAAAGAGACCACAACCTACTCTTGAGTGCCATCTCAGTACGTGGATTGTGGGTATGTTTCATTCTTTCATTCTCCCCCCACCCCTATTTCTCAGAAGTAAAACCTTTAAAGAATTAGCCCCAAACTTGGAGTGCCCGGGTCCTTGAAAGAGTTCCAAGCGATAAAGCCTGCCCTTCATTTCGAATACATGGCGCATTGTGAAAATGCAGGGCAATTAGTCAGTTCCAGAGTTTGAGTCAGATTCCCAGTTTCCTTAACTCCTTTGCAATGGAAATCTGAAATCCAACCTTGGGGCAGGAGGCGCCTCCGAGCTGATGGCTCTTCTGGGTTCCGCTCTGCCCGCACCACCAGCAAGCGCTGGCTTCCCTTTTGGTGACCTGGTACCAGAAGTTTGCACAACACCTAAAGCCTGAGGCAGGTGAGGAAGGGAGGGAAATACCCTCATTTCAACGCAACAAAGTGAACAACTCGAGGGCGAGAGACCCTGGGTTCAGCTACCTCGCTTTAGGGATTTCCAAGGGCAGAATTTGGTGGGGTGGATTGAGGTTCCCAACTTGCCACCCTGAGGCAGAAAAAGGGATCCTTGAGAAGCACAGGCTTGGGAGCAGGGCTGCAAGCCGGCAACTGAGCCCATCTGCACAGAGCCGGCTAGGGCTGGCGTGGGGAGTAGGTGGGTAGCCACGGTAGCACGGTAGCACGTGCATTGTTGACACACAGCCACACCGGTGTGTGCTAATGGAGGGATGCGTGGCTGAGCAATCCTCGGATGCCTGCATTTCTTGCAGGCATGGCTTGTTTAATAGCCAGAGAATTGAGTGCCTTACCCACCCATCCACCTCCCCCCCACTTTTTTTTTTTTTTTTTTGCTAGAAATGTAAAAAGGGACCTATACAGTGTACATATTCTGAAGGAACATGTGCCTTTTTTTTTCCTTGAGAAATACCTAGCGCCATAATATTTCTGATATAAGGGGCGAGGGAAATCTTTGAAGTGAAGGAAATCAGTGGGGGACGAACGATCTTTTCCTGATTTTTTTTTTTTGTGTGTGCCTGTCCTCAAAGCCAGTAATGGGATTTAAAATGAGAGATTCCCAGTCCTCATCCTCCCTCCCATTCCATTTTGCTCCCTTTGCCCCAGAAAATATCTGCAGTAACCGACTGCACGTCTAAGGGGACCGTTTAAAAAGAAACAAGGTTTGAGGTGTGCATCAACTTTCTTTTTCTTTTCCAAATGAAGCTGAAAAAAATTCCAAGGACAATTTAAGCACTAAACAACATCGAACAGATATTTTTCCAAAGCAAAAATTTTCTAATTCGTTTGTTTCTCATTCTTAGAAATAGAGAAAAAGGCGAATCAGATCTTTCCTGTACGCGGATGGCATGAAATTTGGAGCCAGTGTTTGGTTCAGGCAGGAGGGTGGAGGGCAGGGTGCGGCACCGCGGACTCCCAGGATCCGGTGCTCTCCAGGCCCGGGACCCACAGTCTGGGGCTCCCGTTAGCTGGGCGCCCCGCCGCGTGTCCTGTGGACCCAGACTGAGCCAGGGGAGAGGGCAGGGCAGTGGCCCCCTGTGGGTGCGGCCGCCTCCTCGTTTAATTCCAAGACTCAGCGGGGCAGCCGGGACATTCGACGCCAGTTCCTCGCAGAGGCAGAGGGTGCGTCCTTTTCTCGGCTGCTCTCCTGCCCCCAGGGCTGGGCGTTTGAGCGAGGAGGCTCTGTTCCCTCCTCCCCTAGATCCATAACCTTAGAGATCCCAACAGTTTCCTGAGACACCGACCCTCAGTTCACTGAGACAGGCGCGCATCCCTAATGCCTTGCACACCCAGTCCCAGTTCGAGGAAACCTTTATTCTTCCACCGGCTCGGGGCTCGGGGCTCTGGAGAGGAAGCCGGAGCGCTCAGGGCCCTGGCGAGGCCGGCTGGGGAAGCTAAGCCGGCGCAGTACTGCTGCGCCAGGACCCGGGCGCCCCTCACAGGTGCGCGCACAGCATGGCCCCACTGCCCCTCCCTAGGGTGGGAAAATGGCCCCCTGCGGAGCAATTCCATCACCTACTGAGCCCCTTCGGGACGTCCCCCAGAAAAACCACCTGGCTGGGGGCCTGGCCCCAGCAGCCACCTGGGAAGGGTTGGGCACAGCGGCGGCTGCACCTTGTGCCGGTGGGTGGCCTGAGCTGCCCAGGCCCTGCGTGGGCCTTCGGCTCACTGCCCACTCTCCAGCTCGGCCGCTAGTGGTTCGATTCCCTCTCCACCGCCCTCACCGGGCTGGCCAGTTTGTTTTGGAACACAGGTGCTCCAACCCCGTCCTGCAGGGCACCAAGGTGGGGGACACATGGTCAACGGTCGGGGACAGCTGGGGGTCCTGAACCCAAATGCAGGAGGACATGAGGCAGGGTTCCCAGGCAGCTGCTCCTTGTTGAGGCCTGAGGAGGCTGTTCTGCACCCTGCAGCCCGCGGAGAGCTGGGAGTGGAGAAAACCCTGGGGCCCTGCTCGCCATGAGGCCAGCCAGAGAATGGGCTGGCCATGGAGGTGGGAGTGGATGTTTAAGGTTAGTGAGGGCCGGACGCGACCAGTGCCTGTGTCCGGGTGTTTGGTACTGCACGTCGCCCTCTGTCTCATTTTGTCTGGGAAGGGAAGGGAAAGCAGGCAGATTTGTGCCGACCCCTCTTCCCGCAGTCTGGGAACGCTGTAGCCGGAAGAATTGCTCATAACGACACTTAAGCCCCGACACTTGAATGCTAAAGGTTAAACCTACAGTCTTCAGGGAAGGGCTTCCTGCCAACTGGAACAGTGGTGCGCGCTGCCACAGGCTCTCCTCCACCCCGCCCTGTCCCCTTCCAGGTACAGCCAACTTAACGGGTTTTTTGACGTTTCTTCATTTCAGGATGAGGTGCGGATGGTTGCTGGCTCTTCCCACCTCCACCCTGCCCTCCAAGGAACCTCTCCTTCCTTGTCGCCTCCATTATTTTGCCTGTGGCTGTCTGCACCTCAGTTTGCCTTTGGAATCCCTGACCTGTGGGTTCCTGCTTGTTCCTGCTGTGGAGTTGGAGTGAATCCTCCTTTGCAACAGATTCAAGGTTCACAAAATTGGACACCTGGGGAGAAACCACACTCATCCCTTGTTCCTTTGCTCTGGGTACTTGGTGGCCCCTGCAAGTTGGCGCAGGCAAAACCAAAGCAAATACATTCAACTTGGTGCCCAGCATGGAGGGGTCTGCAGGGAAAACCTGACTGTAAGGGGGGCAGGTGGGGGCCAGATTTTCAGGTAGGAAAAGTTTTCCAAAAAAGAAACAGCCATGGGGGTCTCTATCCCAGGGACTCTGTGCTGGGAGCCTGGGACCAAGAACACCTTTTCCTGCTCTCTCTTGATCTCCCTTCGTCCCCCAATGATGGTGAGATTCAATTCAGCACCCTTAAAAAGGGCATTGTGATATAGTAAAGAGGATGGGCGTTAGCTCTTAGGAGTCTGGCAAAATGACCCTTTTCTCTTCCTCCCTCCCTTCCTTCCTGAAGGCCCAACATTTGTTGAGCACCTACTATGTGTTAGTTCCCTGACACCTGCATGTAATTTACATGTAGTTACATTTAATTCTCCCAGTGGCCCTGGGAACCTGGTATTATTAGTCTTACGTCAGACCAGGAGATTAAGATCGCACAGCTATGAAGTGGCTTATCTTGAATTCGAACCCAGATCCATCTGGCTTTAAAGCGATTTCTATTACACTGTCTGTCTGGGGTCAAGGTCAAGAGAACCAAGGACACAAGAGAAAATAAAAGAGATATACAGTACAGACGGGCTGAGGGAATGGAAAGAAAAATATTCTGGGGAAGGGTGCTCTGGTTTTGATAGAGACTCAGAGCGCAATTCAGAGCTGGGAGACACACCACTGAAAGTCATGGTGGATGTTCTCTAAAGGCCAAAAAACAGAAATGACAATGAAATACTACAATGTAAACGATTCCCCAAGTTGACAGCAACATACCATCACCCCTGAAGCAATTGCCCAGTGCACTCCTGGACTAGCAGACCTGTGCTAGCTATACCAGGGGAAGTTCATAGCAGGCTTTTTGTTTTCCTTTGTAAATTTTCTTATTGTCTGAAGCTCAGACAAGTTCCTAAGTTCTGTGAGTCAGCAGGGCTAACAGGAAGGGATGATCAGGTGACCAGTTACTCATGAACAAATATGAGGAAATCCAGAAAACTGGGGAGAGGGCAGCAACATCCAAATGGCAGGATTTGGGGTCTCCTGGTTGTGGGGGCACAGGGAAGGGTATGTGTGGCAGCACGCCTGCGGACCCCTCTGAAGAAATATGCTTGCTTCGTCTATATTGAAATTTGGCTGTGGGAGAGTCTTCCACTCACTCTGGCCTCTGCATGTGCCACCAGGCCCTGAAGTGCTCCTTTCGGTGCTCTCCAGCAAGGGGATGCAGTGGGCAGGTCAGTGATGGGGTCTGATGTCTCTTCCTTGCGTTTAGCTGGGTTGACTGGGGCTGAAGCCAGTGTGTGTGACTGGTCAGGACTGGCCAGGCCCACACGAAAGTGTTGCTGAAAGCCTTGTTAAGGAAGTACTCCTGACCAGGCAATCCAATTACATAATGCTGCAAAAATAACTCCGGGCTGGGAGTCTTGTCAGAGTGACGTATTTTGTTAACGGAGAAGGGTATCAAATATCTATCTTTCAACTCAGGGGCTGAAAGTATACTTGTGGCATTGATGGACTCGCCCTCTCTCCACCAAATTAGCGAAAGTGGGGGAGAAGCTGCAAAGATGTACAGTTTTTTATCCCCTCCTTTTATCCTCAGGTGCAAATAAAGCCCACTGTTCAACTTAGCTGTGTTCTACCAGCTCTAAGTCCATATATAGAGTTACATGTACTCAAATTAGTCTCGCGGTGGTCCCTGCTGTAAATGGATGGAGGAAAGTTGACGGAAAGAAATAAGGAGAGAGGAATAAACTAGAATGAAAGTGTTTTGTTTTATGAGTGGAGCAGGGTAGGGGGTGAGTTATCTTGTTATTTCTGTCTAGACTGGGCCTCTCACAACAGTGACCAACTGCTCCCAATTTGCCCAGGACTGTCCTAGATTTAAAACTGCATCCCAGGACCCCCATAAACCCTGGAAAACTAAGACAGTCAGTCACTGTCCTTCCTACAGGCTTTGGCCAGATTTCCACAAGGACATAGAAAATTATGATCAAAATAAAGTAGATCCTTTCAATTCAAAATTATTCAAAGAATGACCTAAATAAGCTATTTCATCATAGAGATGAAGGCTCTATTTCCTGGAATTTGAAGAGAGAGCCACATACTTGCCCCCACCTCCCACCATTTTGGACTCTGGAGTTTTCCAGGTGGAAGGATTACCTGTTCCATTCACTTTGCTTATCAGATAGTTTCCAGACATGACTTTGCCATTCGAAAATGCCTTGAGCCCCTGCCATGTTTTGGTTGGGGATTGTTTTATATCATTTTGGAAAAAACTGCTTGAAAGTCATAGGGGCTTGTCTTTTCTTCACCTAATCTCTTTTGTGAGGTCTCAGTTCCTCCCTGTGGCATCACGGTCACATACTGAGCTGTATCAAACTTCTTTAATATATTCTTCTCGAGTCTGTTAGCATTTTTCCCCCCTACTGTTGATAATAACAGCATCTGATCCTTCCGTTCTAAACTGCAGCTTTCCAATTCATCCTGAATCTAGACCCCATCTGACCACCTTCCCAAGGAGGCCAGTGAGGATAAGCCATCCCCCATCCCGGACGCTCACAGCATATGAGCTTAGATTTACATTCATTCCCACTTCCATTCTTTTTTAAAATCAAAATGTCTCTAAACTCCTTGAGCTAATTATAAAAGCAAATAGCTTTCCCTCCCTGAGTCATATTCCCGGGCTCGTAAAAATGCAATTCCACTCGGAGACCACCTTGTCGCCAACATGAAAGTCGGCTTGTTTAGGACGCAGGGAGAGGAAAGGGTGAAGCGCCAGCGCCTCCCACCCTCCCCCAGCAGGCGCTGCCTTTATGGAGTCTATTTCCAGTCTGTTTACCTGGCAAGGGCCACGTGACCAACCCAGAAGGAAATGCTGACATCATTGTCTCTCTCTCACACATGTGCGGCCTCCCTCCCTCCCTCCCAGCCAGCTCTGCCTGCATTCCGGCATCCATCCTCTCCGCCTCTCCCGCGCCCGCGCCCGCTTCCTCCCCCTCCACTCACGCCTTCTTCCACTTATTTCTTTCTCGTGTCACACTTTCCTTTGTTTTCTTTTTCCTTGTAGGCTGTCTCATAGACTGTCTTGGGGACACACACACACACACACACACACACACACACACACACACACAGAGAAGCGCGCCCCCGCGCCACACACACACACACACACTTCTGGGCTGCCTTTTCCTTTTCTTTCAACCAGCTTTTCTTCCCCCTTCAATCTCTTTCAGATCTGTGGCCAGTGAGTCTTCACTCTATTTTAAAAATACACTTCCTCTTTCTCTATAGATTCGAGATTTCTAAAGGAAAAAAAAAAAAAAAAACACCAAAAAACTAGCAGGCCAAGGGTGGGGAGAGGGCATAGCAAGGCTGCCCGGTCCAGCCACTCAATTTCCTGCTCCAGTGGACTTGGAGATTTAGGTGTTAGGGGTTTGGTCAAACACACCTTGTTTGTTTGTTTGTTTGTTTGTTTTTCAGCCTTTCCTCTTCCAGTCCCCCCTCCCCCCACAGTTCCTTTGCGGGCTGTGGTGCCCTCCCTTCCCCACAGCCCGATCATAGGTCCCAGGAGCTCTTGTCCTTGCTTGAAGGGAGCACATGAAATTGGCTTCTGGCTTTTCTCTGCCACTGCTCCTCATTCTGTCAGGGGCTGAGGAGACTTCTTAGCATCCTTCCAGCCCCAGACCTAGGGAGCTGGGGGCAGAGCAGGGCAGAGTTCAGCCCTGGTACTTCCTGCCTCTTCAAAGGGCTATTTATATTCGGAACTATGTGACAGGGCTCTGGGGTTGGGAAAGCTTTCTGGGTGCACATGGGCGCAGAGCCAAAGCATGCAGTTTAGAGGAAATGTTTAATGAAGACATGGGAGCCTCGAACTGTATTTATTCTTACAGAAAGGTGGATTCAATGTCCCTGGAAAGTGCCTCAAAAGTGGACCGCAAGGTAGTGAGGCCAGAGGGTGAAAGAACTGGGAATCCGAGACTGGCTCGCTTGGGCCACAGGGCAGAAGGTGGACTTTCATCCTTTGGCTCCCCCCTCTCACCCCACGCTGTCATATCCTGGTGGGACCTTGAGGTGGAAGGACATAGAGGAAGGTCATGCAAGAATGAGATCAAGTAATCATTACTTAGGAGTGAACTTATAATCCCCAACACTCGTATAGGTTGGGACTCAACCAGGAGGACATAAGCGCTTGAATGGGCATATTTACCACTGAGTTATACAGAAAACCCGAAATATAGCATCCTGTTGGAAGACCTTAGAAATATCTAGAGATGAGACCTTCAACATTAAAATAGTACTACTGGTCTTCAGTATTCAGATGCATTCCTATTTCTTGAGAAATATTTGCAGTACTGTGTCTGTTAAAATGGCCCTTGAAGCCAGTAAAGAGAGAATTCTGATGTGGGGTTACCCTCTGGAGATCTTTTCAGTGAACAAAGCTGGCAGGGGCATCTGATGAGGGAGGTCCAGTTATAGATATGTCCCTTTAGGCATGTCAGGATCTTAATCATTTTCAGACATGCCGAATCCAGAAGCTTCTACGAGCCTTTTAAATATTTTGTACCAGTTCTAATTTTAAACTTCCAAATGTTATAGGTCAAGGACTCACTGTTCTGAGTTGTCAATTAGGCAGGTAGCTCTGGTGGTCAATTAAATGATTTTTGTGGTTTTAGAACCCAAATAAAGTGGAGTTGAGAGTTTCAGTGTCATTATTATCATTGCCATGAATATTTATGGGGCCATGGCTGCTTTAAAGTACAAAAGAGTGAGGTGGAGCACAGGTTCCAAACGCCCTACTGGGGGTTAGAGATGCCTTATCATGGATCCTACACTATCCAGTCGTTATCAATGTCTGCCAAGCTAAAGCTCAAAATGGTGAAGAGAGCTGATAAAGGGGGCTGGGAATTATGTAAAGAACAGAGAAGGGTTCTAGGTCTTTTAATATGGCAGCTTTCAAGATCTGGAAGAAGGTGTGTGTCAAGTACTTTTCCCATCCTTGAGTCTAGTTCAGGCTCACATCCTCATGAGGACCCTGTCCGAGGCCCAGTATTTGAGCTGACCCCACCCTGCTTCTCATATTCAGCTCTCTGGGCAGATTTCCTGGATTAGTTTACAACTCTCCAGGCACCAAAATAACATAGACAAGATCCATTTGTTACACTACTCAATACCTGTGATGATGTGGAAATGCACACGCATTTATGAATACATTTGTATTCATGTTATGAGTTACTCCACCTGCTTCCCCAAGGATAGGCACCATATGGAGTACACATCTCCATAAATGCCCACAGTGCTAATTGGTACTCAGTGATGTGCTTACAGTGAAGAGGAAGATAATGATAAAGTTGATGGTGATGGTGATGGTGATGGTGATGATGATGATGATGATGATGATGATGATGATGATGGTGATGGTGGTGGTGGTGGTGATGACCATGATGACAGCACTGAATTGCTAATAATGATTCCAGGGTGAAAAGAGTTCTGGGCATAGAGATGTGCTTAACAAAGACTGGCTGACTGAATGGATGAATAAAGTTTAGGTCTTTCACTGAGTGTTTTTCTGAGATCTGATTCTTTAGTTTTTTAAATTACTTCTTAAAAGAAACAATCTCAACAAGCTTGTGAGCTGGGCCAAAATGGCATAACAATAACACGAGGTAGATGGACAATCACTTGTGTCAGTCAGCTAATACTTCTCTCTCTCAAGGCAAATAGCCGCAGAACAGAAAGTCCTTTGCTGGGACATAGAGCATAGATCCTCCTAATCTGCTCAGGAAAGGACATCAGAGAGGTGATGCTCGTAGCACAGGATGGACAAGTCTTACAGTCAAGGCATGAAGGAAGAAGGACTGCAAGCCAGGGATTGAAACATATAGAAAAGTAAATAAACATATGAAAGAACTCCTTAACTACTGGAAGAATCAAGATCTTTTTTTAAAACTTAGAGAGTGGAAAGGTCACCAAAGACTTGGGCTGGAGTCCCAGCTCTGCCACTTGGAGCCAAATGGCCTCCAACAAGTCACTTAATCCTTAGAGAGTGTTTTCTTCTTGTAAAATGGAGATAATAGTGCACACTCCACATGGTTGTTTGAGGATGAAATGTGATGGTAGATGTAAAGTGTCTAGCACAATGCCTGGTATCTGGCAAGTGTACGATACACAGCAGAAATGATTAACATTATCCTGATCCTAGTTACCTGTCTGCACTTCTGGTCTAAAGGGTGAATATCAAATCATTGTGGAAGTATTGCACGAGCTAGAGAGACTTAAACAAATCTAAGATATTGTTTTCGGGTATTAATGAGCTCTGGGTTAAATATATTAATACTGGGAAATGAGGCAATAAGATGAAGATATATTACAAGGGCAAACTTTCTCCATATACAGGTATCTGATATACCTAATTCCAACCATAAAGTTAATGAAATATGAGGAATGCAAGCACCCACCAGATTTCCTCAGGAGGGGGTCTCGTGAAGATTTATAGTTAAAAATGACACAACAAGTTATTAAGGTGCTTGGGCTCCCTGCGGCAGAGGGGATATGTAAATCCAAAGAATAACTGTCAATGTAATATCCTCACCATTTGTAGCAATAGACTTTTCTAGGCTGAAATAGAATTTCCAGAAGTTATCTTTCCCTTTTGGAATTACAGAGTATGACAGATTTATTTCCACACATCTCACTTGCTTTCAGAGTTATTGTTTCCTCTTATTTTTCCCCCCTTCTTTGGTGATAGAGAAGCCTGAGAACTGATTCTGTCAGGAAGTTCTTGGGGAATTTTCAGAAGATTGTACAATCAGGGTATATAAATGACTGTGAGCAGCCAGCATTTATTTTCTTTTATAAAAATATATACATTCATTGCCGATCTTCTGAGCATATCTGAATAATCAAAACCATGAATGACAAACACACCGAAAAAATTTTTCAGGACTCAAGGATCCTTTTGGAGTAAGTTAGCATCATTTCTTCCTCTTAAAGCAGATCAAGTAACTTCTCCCCTGTCACTGGGCTTCTCAAAAAGAATGTGCTTTTAAATCTGGAATCTAGGATAGGAACTCCATTGCTCCCTGGACATCTAATGCCAATCCCCAAATTTACTGAATTTATTGACCAAGATGTTGGATGGAACAGGTTCAAGCATCTTGCTAAATGAAATATAGATTACATTTATCATTTCCTCTCAATCTACTAAAATCTTGTTACTCTTTCATGGAAGGAAATGAATCAGTTTGACGGGACTTGTTCTGTCAAGTGATATAAGTTCCCAACACTATATTCACTACAGATTATTCTAGAAATGATTTGGTGATCATTTTTTTCCAGGAAAAGTTCCAGATTAGGACATTATAAACTCCCATTTTGCTTTTTAAAAGTAGAGGTATTAATCCTGGTTCTTTTCAGTCTTTCCAGGTTCTTAAAACTGAAGTTACTGTCCTACACTTTTAGCCAATTATATCTCCTTATGAAAAACTTTTACCCTGAAAGAAATCTCCTCTTAAAAAAAGGGGTTTCTACCAGTATTTATGGAATATTTAAAAGCTGATCATGCAAAAATAATGAGGAAGCAAATGGTCAAGACTTAAGATCTCTACTTTGACAGACCCACAGATTTGTGTATCATCTGAAGAAATTTCCAGATCGAATGGATTCAAGGACAAAGACAGGTATGGTAAATTTTCAGATTCTATCAGTCTTGTAAGTCTCATGCAAATGAAAGTCATTATTTTCCATAAACATATTGAAAATCCACTAAGAACGAAATGAGAAAAATGGGAGAAAATGTATGAAAAACTTCATTGCTTATACCTTTTAATGTAAATTACAGTGGCCATAGGGTCTGCACATGTGCTAAAATCTCAGGGCTTAATAAAAACCCAACGTTTCCAGAGCATACACTGCATAGGTGTGATCTCAAAGTCAGAACAGCCCCAACTCTGTAATGACCGGGATGGGAGCACGAAGGTGACAGCCCCGAAATGAAATTCGGGGTACTTCTGGGTATCTCTGGGGTTTGGGGTTTCTAAGTTTAATGGAGATAGATGCTTGTTTACAGGCTCTGAAGCAGAAAACCCACAATACCCTTGACAAACCAAAGCTTGGTATTTATCAGTCTTTGTGAGCCTGAAGTTTAAGTTCCTGTATCCTTTCTTCAGTTCACCGTGCTGATTCCTAGCTGAGGTTATCCCCAGCTACCTGCTCTTCTCACATGGGCCTGTGGATTGTTCAACACTGCTGGGGATGTAAAGAACTTGAGTGGACTGCACCCTATACAAAGTTCTCCAATGTAAAAGCCAGGCATGGATGGCTGTTGACTCGATGGATTCCCCAAAGCTGCTGCTCCACACTTTTTCCACACTCCTCAATTTCTCACCAATTCCACTCTTAACTCTGGGCAAAAGATTTAACCCTTTGTTTTTTGAAACCATGATTGAAATCAACTTCCATGAACTTGCCCACTGCATCACCTAACAGTGCCTTCCTTGCACGATATCGTTTTCCACCATCGAATGCCTTCTATCCTTAACCATTACCTCCTTTCTCCTCTTCCGCCTCGCTTCTAAAGCAAATATTCCCTGAGTTCTAGAGGCCAACACTTCCAGGTCCCTCCAATCCCCTGTTCCTTCGCTTGTTTCTCTCTTCCTGCTCCAGTTCCCACGATGCGCCTGCCCCATCACTTTCACATCCTTCTTTAATCAATCCGTTTCTATTTGGAAATCTACACATACTCTATTGAAAACAAAACTTCCCTGGATCCTACCACCCATTTAACATGCCACCATTCCATTCGCTACCCAACTTCCTAAATAAAAAAAAAATCATTTAAACAGGTTCTCCAGTCCATGGTTGAACACCTCCAGACTGGTGGACAGCTCCGACTTTAGGAGAAGGATGGTCATTATTTTGAGCCAAAATTGATTCCTTGGCCACCCTTGTCCATTGGTTCTAGTGTCATCTTGTGAGGCCACACAAAGCGAGTTTTATTTCCTGATGCAGACAACCTTTCTACTGTCTTTTTCTCTCCGGTCTTTCTGAGGTAGGCACTGCCAGTTTGCTCAACTGTTCTTTACATGACCTAGTTCTGAGTCCCTTTGCCTCCCTGTTTAGTTTGACTGTCTCTTAAAGGGTTGTGGCCCAAGCTTAAAGGTAAATTATTTATATCTGCTCTGCCTAGCACACGAGCAGCATTCTTACCTCCTCATTATATTTTGCTCAGTACAATTGTTAAATCCTCCTGCTATTAAACCTCTAAGACAGAGGTTTGCAAAGTATGGCCCACAGTGCTTCTATGTCAGAATGACCCAGGAAACTTTAGTAAATGCAGATTCTTGAGTCCACCTCAAACTTGTTGAATCTGACAATCTGGGGGCAGCACCTGGGAATCTACGTTTTAAACAAGTAGCCCAATGATTCATAATACATACAAAATCTGGAAAAAAATGCTTTCTGAACATCTGTTGCCAAGACTGGCCCCCTCCCACTCTGTTTGTGCAGATGGGTTTTTGGATCTAAGACAAGACCTTCCATTTTCTTGCATTACAGTTCATCTTGTTAGATTTGGTGCATTGCCTCAGCCTATCAAAATCTGTTGAGTTCTTTACTCTGCATCATATGACTTCATGACAACCACACATGGATTAAGACCCAAAATCTTAATGTCACAGTACCAGACATCTCCCTCTACACTGACACCAACTACGGTCAACCAATTACTAACAAACTCATACTTCACTTTCTTTCCTATGAGATAAATGGACAAACTGTCATTTGTCATGTTGCCAAATGCCTCGGTAAAGCCCGGCTGTTCTTTGTCTTCCATATTTCCCTGATCCACTGGTCTGTACCAATCCTCTCAGAGAGGGAAATGAAGCATTCTCACGGGCCATTTACAATGCATTCTAGACTCTGTGGCCAGGCAATGGACTGGAGAGTAAAGAACCCATCTTCTTTTCCTGTGACCTTGTTCTGAACACCTGTGGCGCTTAGGTTAGTTAGAGGACGCTTGACTTGTATTATCAATGTTGTCCACATTTTAACTCTACTAATAGACAAAGAGATTTGGAACTCTGAAGTTGTGTCTTATGTGTCTCTAAATAGCTCATAGTAAATCACACAATATCCTACTCAGTGACTTCTCTTTGAATGAATGCACTTTATATTTTATTCCCTTTCACTTACTTTCATTTTTTTTTTTTGTGCAAGATGAAAGCAGACTCTGTAGTGAATATTGGAAGACTGTGCTTCTTAGGCACGAAGAAAGTGGTACGCCTGGACAGATCTCCACAGGCCTAATTGTTTCTCTTAGTCACCACTCATTCAAATGAGCTCGTTGGAATAAAGGCATTCTTTGAAATGAAGTGTGATAGAAGCACCGGGAAATGATGACACAGCTTCTGAAACATCACAACTTTACTAGAATCTGTGGCAATGGCCAATGAGACACAAGAAAGAATGTTTCTGAAAAACCTTGGCTTACTGGAGCCACTGAAGTCAGCATAACATGCAAACAATGTTTATTAGGGGCTTAAATTGAATGAGACCTTTTGAGATGATAAAGTGTATCGATAGGGCATGAGATGGCTGGACAAGGAAATTTAGCTTCCTTCTACATCACAGCTGTGAACATATCTGAGTAATTATCTGATGTATAAGATAGTGAGGATGAAAAACTATCAATGAATAGTGGAAAGTCCTGTGGTTTCCTTGGGTCGAGTGACTTTCTTCACGGCTACATCTTGTCTTTCCTGTTTTTGATAGGGCCAAGAAGATTCAGCAAATACTCCAGAACATTTTCCTACTGGAAAAGCCACATAATTCCAGTTCCATATCCCTGCTCTGCATGAGGTATAGGGTGGTGGTTTACAACTGGTGGGTGACTTTGTCTCTGTTCCACCCAATAACATTTGGCAGTGTCTGGGGATATTTTTTGGTTGGCACAGAGGTGCCACTGGCATTATTAGGTAGAGATCAGGGTGCTTCTAAATGACTTACAAGGTACAGGACAGCTTCTCTCTACTTAAAAAGAACTGTCTGGCTCAAAACGCCAATAGTAATTATCTCCATAAAAAAAAAAACAAAAACAAAACTCAATTAAAAAAGTATCCAAAAAGTGCCAGTATTGGGAACCCCTGGTCTAAGGCTATGCTTCCAGACCCCACCCTGGAAGGACTGGTCTGTCTCAAAGAGTCACGTGACTAACTGCCTGGTGTGGGTCTGTGAGGTAACTTACAGGTGACAAACACTGAACGATACTTTGCAGCTCCATGGTGAGGCGAGGGTACCATGGCTGGAAGCTCGGCCCAGTGGACTGGTTCAGATGGCAACCTGAACAGAAGCAGAGCCGTTCTGGGACATTCCCGAGAGCTACGGGTTTGACCTCGGAATAGCTTACGGGAAAGGCCCTTGGTGACCTCCACTCATGGGGCAGCCCACTTCTCTACAGATGCAGGGATGCCAGCTCATTAGAATCAGGCAAAAAACATCAATGAGTGACATTCGTGGTCATAAAAGGGTCCTGAACAACAGGTTATAGAGATGTGAGTGGAGACTATAAGGACTCAGAAATGTGAGGTGGGCATGGAACGCATGTACCAGCTGGAAAGCATGCTGTTTTTGTGCTGACTGCAGGAAGGTCTGGGTCCTATAGGAATGAAAGGGGAACTTGCCTTACCTGATGTCCCTAGATAACAGATACATTTTCCCCAACTTGCTATTATTTTTGATATGGCTAAGATTTTTAAACAGCATCAATTTTATATAATATAGGGAACTTGGTAGATTTAATGAAGCTTCCAAACGCCCCTTGAGAGATGATTACAGCTCTAATTAAAAATGGAGGATGACAGACAAGAATCCCATGAGACTCTCTAAGCAAGTGGCATTCGTACACTTTCTTTTATGGACAAGATTACTTTGTTCATGTCCGTCTGGGCTCCTTCTAGCAATAAACATTATTGTTGCTAAATTCTAATACATTATGATATTTAATGTGGTTCAAAGATCAGGAAATATTTAAAGCTGTAAGGGACAAAAATGTTTATAAGCCAAGCCAGACTTTCACTTATTTCATATACCTGTACTTACCATCTCCATGATTACATATGGCCTAGATTAGACACTAAATGAAATCTTAGTGTCTAATCTAGGCATGGAAAAGAATATGGGAGGACTGGTGGGGCAGATGAGGATTAGGGCTCCACACTCAGACATGGCTTTAGGGACCAGGTAGGTATGGCAACTCAGAGAAGGTAGTGGAGACAGAAATCTAGGGAATGAAATGATTTTTTAAAACATTATCAAGTAGGTCTTGAAAGTCCAGGTGGTCAAATACGTAGGCTCAGGAGATCAGGGGTACTGAGACATCAGTTTTAGAAGACAAAACTACTAATAGGAGCTTGTCTTATCACGAGAAGCCTGGGCTTTTAACCAACATCGTCTAATCTCTATAGTGCTGGCTAGTCTTTGGAGAGTCTTGATCCTACATAAGTCCTGAAAAGGGGGTCGTACCCCTTAGTCTCCCTGGTGGAGGTGCAGGTGTAGGGTATAGTGAGAAAGAGCCAGAAGCAAAACCTGAGAGACTGACCCCCAAGAGACCGATGATTTAATAATGACCATCGCAGTTTTTATTAATGACTGGCAAAATTTGGAGATTTCTCTCAACAGTGTCCAAATCTGGGGAATTGTCTGTAGGATTTAAGATTGAAGACATATTCCTGAACCCAAGCTGTGGTTGCTTTGAGGTTGGTGGCACCCAACCTCATCTCCCCAAATCCTACACACGATCCACAAAATGTCTACCTATGATTCCCACACAGGCTGTGTTTCCCCTGCTGAAAATGTCTTGCCCCCGCATCTATAGCTACCTAAAATATTTTCTTGAGACCCCCGGTTCCTACCTACTCTGCTCTCCGAGTTCGGTGCACATAACTCTATTTAAACGATATTGGTAATTATTTTTCTACTTAATGTCGTTCTCATAAGGCAGAAAGTACTTTTAGTTCAGGAACCATTTAAGTATATGAGTACTTATATACTATAGAGATTATATTATGTGACTGCCACATAGTGTATGTTCAATCAATGTTTGCAGAGGAAAAGAAGGAAAGAAGGTAGGGAGGGAGTTTGTAAAAGCGGTAAAGACCACTAACTAGGCAGACAGCATGTCAGGCTCTTCCATGAGGGATTCAGGCAGAGACCACCTCGGAAGGATCTGCAGAGCAGTTGGCAATAGAGTTCAGTGGCTGCAGGGCTGTGATTCCCACGGCACTTACTGGCAGAACCCCAGGGAATCCCTCTTTCTTGGCCTAGCTAGCGACTTACCGCCCTGGAAGGCCGGCACACAACACAGTTCTGGTGACGCTTCTGCAGAGTCAGCCAGCACCAGCCTGAGGTTAGCTATGCCAGAGAGTTCCTAGTGTCTCAGTGGCTGGACTTTGCTACCAGTTTCCTCAGAGGCCTCTCAAGTGTGATATCATATTTGATCATTATTCATAATGATCGAAAAGAGTCCAGCTTAGCTTGTCAATTGCTTTTATCTACGCATCTTCCACATCAGATGAAAGAGTTTGCAGAGCTGGGTCCTCATTCAGAAATTCCCAATATGTAACTTTTGAAAGTGCTTCTTAATTCTCAAAATGTTACCCACTGCTGACAAAGACTATTGTAGCTGACAATCCTGAGTACATCTATAAGGATTTTTCAAGACCCTAGAACTTGACAACACAACCTTCCACTACTGTTCCATTCACCTGGCAAACCAATAAATTCCGTATTCAGGAGATTCAATAGAACATTCAGCACATATTCTGTGCTGCTCCCAGAAATCAGTTTTGTAGATGTAGAAGCTACTCAAAGAAAATGCTTTTAAGCTCATTGTTGAACAAGGCAATATAATAGCTTGCAATCACGGAGTTCAAGAATATTTGAACTAGAACGTATCTTAGAGACAGACTGGTCTGCACTGAGGGTGCTGACGCCCAGCTAGAGAGGGTAGATAACTTGCCCAAGGACACCCAGCTAGTGAGTGGCCAAATGTGGCTGGAAACCAAACACAATGACCTTAATCCCCCATTCTGCTGCTTAGTATGGATGGTCTGTGTCTATATAGTAATATAGATACACACATAAAAGAATAAAGTCTCGCATCACATAGCCTGAACTGTCTGCAGAAACCACAGCCCTACTAAAACAATAACCCATTTAAGTTTAGGGCAGCCTGCTCAGGATTAGGCCCAGAGCCTCACCAGGCCCCCAGAAAACGGAGCATTGTTTCCATCCAAACCTCGCAGTGAAAGGAAGACTGTCAGCTGGCAATGACCTCGTGAGACAACTTTGGGGAGAGCAAAGGGCCGAGAAGAGAAAGGCCTCATTCTCATTGCAAACAGGAAAAGGAAAGAGAAAAAGAAAGCTCTGTCTCCACACAAGGTTGGCTGGGCTGGCTATGAACTGTTCCAGTACGTTCCATCAAACAGCCGCCTTCACGGAATCAAGCCAAGCGCACACAGCGGGTCTGGGGCTCCGGGCCCCGGGACGCACGCGGGCCAGCTCGCACACGCGCTTGCTCTCCTGCACCCTGGGAGAGCACTTATATGGGCTTCATGAGGCTAAGTAATAAACACTTTGTCTTCACCCTGCTATTTATGGGTTGCTCGGGGCATCCTGTTCTCTGCACTGCCCTCACCTGAGCAGACGGCCCCCGCAGACGCCACGTTTAATAGGGACGACAGTAAACGTGAAAGGCTCTGCGTGCCCCACACGCTCCTCTCTTTCTGGCCGCCGGTGCTAACTGCAGAAAGAGGCCGATCTGCATCCATTCACCTGTCCTCCGTCTCCCTTCCTTTCCCCCGGCTCATTTTCTTCCTTCCAGACATCTCCCAGCCATCTCTCTAAGATATCCTTCTCTATTTTACCACGGCCAGGAATTCTTTCCTTCTTCGGTGACAGACCAGCCATCTCGGAAAACAAGTACTCTGAAACCTGCAGATCACCAACTGTCACCTCGAGCAGAGGTTCTGGGGATCGCTGGGCGCCAGACACATGCAGACTTAAGGAGCTGACGGGTCCTACCTGTTGCCGACTTCCAGGTTCACTCAGAAGCCGCGTGCTCCCCCCGCACGCACTGTGTTTGGGTTGCAAACTGGAGAGATGCACGTTTGAAAGCAAGAAGTGCGTCCGGGACAACAGCCGTTTGAAAACCGCAGAGGAAGACGCTAGGGATGTCCACTGGATACAGGGCCAAGGTCAGCCGCTTTGGTCAGTCTGGGGGCCCTTTTCACTCAGCTCCTTTGGGGGCTGCAGGGCTCTCAGCCCTGATGGGTCCTGCATGAAGACAGCGAGGCGTCACGGCTGCATCCTGTCCACCCACGGGCCAGCGCACGAGCTTGGAGCCCTGCCACCTCTCAGCCTTGTCCTCATCTCGGGCTAACCTGTCGTATCCTGAAAACAGACGAGACAGAGAGGGTGCGTTAACTCTGCTTCTCCCCACAGAACGCAGTTCGCCATTGCAGCACTGATTAAATACAGGACATTATCTCACCATAATGCCCTCCTGGCGGTGTTCCCAGGAAAATTCTAACTAATCATAAAAATAGAAAGAAAAACGCAACCTAAATTCCATTCCTCGTCTTAAATGAGTGATGTGTTCACTTTTATTTATTTTTCTGGAAGCGAGGCGGGAAAAGAAAATGAATTTTAGGGCTTAGAAAAACAAGCTACTAATAGTACTAAGTAGAGCTGGGCAGTGGTGCAGACAGTGCGATGCAGCCGGCAAGGCCCGGCACGGGCGAGTCCCGGCCCTGCTCCTCGCTGTAAACTTCGCGTTTTAAACTGGAGCACGTGGCAGGGCAAAGCCAGGGTGGGGTGAGGAAGGGGGGTGGTCGTGGGGCCAGGTGTGGACACACTCGCGCTCACACGCACACACACACAAGCCCATGTACTCATACAAGCTAGGCGCTCAACAGCATCCTTATGGCCCTGGCAGGCAAATGCTCTCCCGATCCCCATTTTAAGCAATGCCTGCATCTTTCTAGCACCATTCTTTCTGGAGACTCAGGCATGGCTTAGATATCCCCTGGCTGGAAGAGAATTTCCTGGAGATTCACCTAGATAATTCCTACTCACCCTTTAGCGATCAGAGCAAATGGCACTTCCTCCAGAAAGCCCTTTCCAAGAGCCCTGACCTTGACCCCAGTCCAAGTGCGGGATTTAAACCTCCCCTCCATAACAGTCATGTGGCTGTCATTAGTGCACTAATTGGTTGTTTAAGGGCTGCCCCCTCCGTTAGATCTAAAAACGTGGTTGTCTTGTTAACTACTTGTATGTGCCTGGTACCTAGTAGCTTTTCAATAAATGGCTGTGTTGGATGAGTGCTGATGGATTGGCCCGGCCTCTGAATGGTACTTAAGTTACTTTGGTAGGTCCCAAGCTAAGAAGCAACACGCGGATGTGGAAGGAGATCAAGGTGGGCCGACGACAGTAAGTACCAGGCCCCTCCCAAATATCTTCTCTTTCTTTCTGGGAAGTCTTTGCAGCTAAATCACGGGAGTGTTCAAAATCCTGAAAACCAGCTTCTGAGATGCTTCTCGTAATGTTACACTGGATGAAAAGAAAATAAAGGACACACCCCACACCCCTCCTGCCTCTACCTGCCCCTGCTTCTGGCACCAGAATCCCAATGCTGCCATCCCCCATCATCGCGAGGACTGCAGTAATGGGCACTGCTACTTGATGGCAAAGTTCTAGCTGGGCTAATTAAGCCTACTGAGCTAATAACCTTCCATTTTGGGACCAGTATTATTCATAATTTAATGTATTGCTGCTGAAACATTAACCTTTCGACAACTGGCATGTTGCCCACAGCAGCCCAAGTGCTGACCATCTTTCAGTAAAATGAGTGTTATTGTTAAAACAGGTATAAATCATTCATGGCTGCAGCTTTTGTGTCAGACCCTACGTGAAAATAAGCAGTAAGCTGGGTAATTTATTTACCTTTTGGTGATTATTTTTTATGATTTTATGATCATATTCAATGATTCATAAACATTGGCATGGTGCCATTTTGTAATCATTTCACATTTTAAATATGGTGTGGCTGTTCTGCTTTTCATCTTTAAAAATTTCAGGATTGATATCGGGCAACTTAGTCCAGACACAAATGCAATTTCATTTGAAAGAAAAGGGTTCGGTGGGGGATGGGGGTGGGGGCGAGTCCCAAGCCCATTCATTTTAACAAAACCGTTTTCAACAGAGCTGTTTGGAGCTTCCACTTGTTACAGCATCGCACTCACTGCAGCAAACTTTCTTTGAAGTTTAACACACAGAGGGTGCCTTGAAATCTGAATAAAAGCACAGGAAAACAGTTAACAAGCTTCTGGTTGGAAAGATGATGGGAAGAAGCTGAAGGGTGGAGGGAGGCCTGGAAAATCTGGCCTTGGGCCAAGAAGGTTGGAAGCCACAAGTCTTACTCCCAGCACCTGGTCGGAGACTATGATTATATCCCCTGGGGTTCTGGAAACTTTACTGCTTGCCGCCTGCTCCTGCCGCCTGCTCCTGCCGCCTGCGCTGGCTCTGGGCTCCTATAATGCTTCCAGAAAGTAGCTTTTCCTCCTTATGACAGCAAGTAGGAGCTGGAGGCTGAGAAGTGGGCAGGTCTTCCACGGCCCGGGAGCTCACTAGACTGCCCTACATTCCTGAGACTTGCTTACAGTTCTCTTCACGTTTTTAAACCAGTGAAAACAGAATTCCTAGCATGTGTAGTAGGTGAAGCTGACATTCCGACAGTGAAAAGGAAGCAGGGCTGGGAGGAGGCAGGGAATGTGACGTCATGTTGAAACTCCTCTTCAAGGCAGAAGAGTGATCGGGAGCAAGCGTGCTACTGGAGCCTCGTCTCACGTCAGGTGTGTTGGCACCGAGGGGAACTCAGCCAGAGGAGACGGGCGTCATCAGCCCAGACTTAGAGGTGAGGTCTTGAAATGCAGCCACGAGTATGTGCTATGAACAACTACAGGGAAAGTGCAAGTAAGAGGAAGATAATACGGGTATAGCTTTCAGGAACAGTTGGAACTGAGTCGCTCTGCGAGATGGCCGCTTGCTGTCTTTTCTACCTTCGGTTTCTTTAAATTCCCACTTACAGCTGTTTCTTTTTTTATTTTTAATTTCGGTTTTCTGGTTTTAGGATTTACTGGAATGTATGTAAATATAAATATGTAAATTCTATGTAAAAAATTTTATTATATAATGTTAATCGCAGTTACAATGCTGCGTAACTCTTACCCCATTTACAAAATTTTTCATCACCCCAAACAGAAACTGTACCAATTAAGCACAAACTTTCCATGTCCTTCTGCTCCCAGCCCTTGCAAACCTCTAATCTACTTTCTGTCTCCATGGATTTGACTATTCTGGATATTTCATATAACAGAATCATACAAAATTTGTCTTTTTGTGTCTGGCTTATATCAGTGTAACGTTTCCAAGGTTCACCCACACTGTGGCATGTCTCAGAACTGCAACCCTTTTTAGAGCTGAATCATATTCTTTGTGAATATACCACATTCTCTTTATCCATTCATCTGTTGATGGACATTCGGTTCTTTATACCTTCTGGCTATTGGGAATACTGCTGTTATACAGAGTGATGGATGAGGATCTGAGTCTCCGACATACGGGGACTAATATTTTTTGAACATCGCATTTTTTTTTTGTCATAAAAGGTCACTGCACATTACATACACTATCTACCTTGATCTTGGATGCTCTTCTTGCTATCTCGGCAGAGCTGGCCTGGGCACAAGTGGCAAAGCCACCCATGCCCGGGAATCACTCTCGTGCCATCCTGTCAACAGTGTTGCCTTAGAAGGTGTCTCGTAGTCACCTTTCGGGATCACCAGCGCTCGTGGGGGCTGTGAATTCTGCACCGGTAGCTTCCGTTAGTTAAATTGGACTTGATAAAACAGGATACTTCTCAGGTATGATAAAGAACAAATTAAGAAACAGTATAACCTGGCATGAGTGAAATTCTGTTTCAATCATGTCAGCCAGAGCAGATGTTGTCATGAAATTTGATGTTATGGATTTATTTCCTAATATAAAGTCTAAAGGGGAAAAACAGCGTAAGAGCTGAAATGTGAATTGGACATGTCTATAGAGTGTGAATTGGATTCAAGACAAAATATTGTGAATGGTTAATAGGGTCAGTCTAAGTATACTTGCTGAAATAATCTCTTGGATATGCAAATATTCTGAGAACTACACTGTCAAATATCTATTGTATCCTCTTATCTATGTGTTCACAGAACTGCTACATGTTATAACAAATGAAAAATGTGAATTTAAAAAATAATGTCACCCTAAAATAGTACGTTACTTTGAATAGTAATTTTTGTTGTGTTTTTTTTTTTTTTTGGTCACACACCAGACATCTAGGCTCTTAAAAACAACATTATTTGGAAATATGGAAGGGAGACCTTCGTGTGTCGTGTTCTGAGTAGAAGCAGACGTGGGGTGGAGCTAGGGAGGGAGCAGGAAGAGGTCACATGCTCATCTTGATTTGGGTCCCTCAGTCTGCCATTAGCTCCTGCCATGCCTTGGTATCATCCCAATGGAACTCCTGCTTCTAGCTATTGGGGCCGTCTCAGTGGAATTCTCTTCCCTGGGAACACTGTCTTGAAGACTCGAGATGCTATTCTCACGGTCACCATCTCACCATAGTAAACAGCCCGTTACACATGAGGGTGGGGGCAAGGACAGTTCAGATGAAGAGCACTTGGGAAGAAGCCTTAGGTCCTACTGTCGACAATTTCAAGGACTCCACCCACAAACTGCTCACTAAAACCATCAGCAAGTAGACAATTTTGATTGAGTTTCATTTAGTTTATTTTCCTCTCCTTTTCCTAACTTCTGAGAGCTGGACTAATGAGCAGAGAAGGAACGAAAAGGTCGATAGCGGACGGATGACTCCGCCACACTGCTTGTATTCTAGAAGAGTCCTGGCCCATGACAGGTACTCAGAAAAATATGTGTCAGACTGGGAATTATGTGTGACAGACACACACACACACACACACAAAACAAACAAACAAACAAACAAAAAACCCACAACAAAAATTACCATTCAAAGTAAAGTATTAACTTAGGGTGACATTATTTTTTAAATTCACATTTTTCATTTGTTAATTAATTACTGGGAATTAATTACTTCTTCATCCATATTTGCACAGTCTTTGAACCTCCCCCATTTCAGCACTTTCACACTGAATTATAGTTTATTTATTTTCGTATCCGAACTCTCCTGTGAGTCCCTGAACTCCTCGGGGTGGGGATCATGTCTCATGCCTCTTTCTATCTCAATCGCAGTGCCTGAAAAATTCTGAGTTTGGTGAATGTTTCCTGGGTTTAATGAAATGAAAACATCTTTTATTTGTAAACTGCTTTACAACAGTATTTTACATAGGATCATCTTCCTGGATCTCGGACTAAACTAGAGTTGTTGGTTGTTCTGGCTGATACTCTGAGAAAGATGTAGAAATCAAGACAAAAAGAGTTTGGTAATTTGGCCAAAATCCCAAGCTAACTGCAGTATTCTGACGCCTGTTGTCTAACTCCTTGTCTCGT